CGATTGCGGGATTCCCCTGCTTGAAACAGCTGACTGGCCCTGTCTGGGTTCTCAGGCTAAACAGAGGCGGTCCTGTTGAGGTTTGGGACGGGAACCCATCAGAATTCCAGCACTGGAAAGAAAAGGTTGCAAAATGTGGCAGTGCCAACCTCCTTCTGTGCTGTTGGCAGCATTATGAATGCAAGGAAAATTAGACAGACCTGGAATTGTGGTCTGTTTGAAGGAGGGTTTCCTTCAGGCTGGGGATGGATACATTCGCCCTGCAGGTGCCACAAGGGTGGAAACTGATCAGGATCAAATGTGAGCCTGAATGAATGAATGAATGAAAAAATGAATGAATGAATGAATGAATGAATGAATGAATGAATGTGTTGTGACTCCGACCCCCAGGCCGACTTATCGGAGGGAGAAGGCTCCGAACATGAAGGAGAGGAGTTGGCCAGGCCTCCCTCTCCAGGACCCTCCTCTCTGGCAATGCCTCAGGTGTCTCCCGAGGGAGAAGAGATTGGCCAGGAGCCAGGTATCTCCTCGCAGTCGGACAGTGACAGAGATAAGTCTTGGCTGGATCCACGCCAGCGTCGGAGAGACAAGCACACGCAGCAGAAAAGGAGGCGTGCCAGAGATTAAGCTGAGTCACTGGACCACACCCCACAGGGGATATAAGGGGGTGAGGTGGCCATTCAGACTCTGTGACGGACAAAACAACTACTAGCGAGTCACATTGTATCTTTGCAACGACGATATCTGCCTTGGATTTAATACGGACTGGACTTGACAATTCTTGAACTGTGTGTATCTTGTTTGGCTTTATCTGTCGGAGGAACAACCCCTCCCTTTATGGGTAAAGTTCTTGGCAAGCAGCTACTGGGTTGCTGCCAATCCTCTTATCGAAAGAATTTGTTGTCTGCCAGTTTTATTTAACCCCTGGATATCTGTTTGTGTGCAGTGTGAGACGGTGACAGAACAGAATGAATGAAAGAATGAATGAATGAATGAATGAATGAATGAATGAGCGAGCTGGAAGGAACCTTGGAGGTCTTCTAGTCCAACCCCTGCTCAACCAGGAGAACCTATACCATGATGGCGAACCTATGGCACTGATGCCAAAGGTGGCACACGCGGAGCCATATCTGGGGGCATGTTAGCGTTGCCCTAGCACAGCTCCAGTGCATACTGGCCAGCTGATTTTTGGGCCTTCTGGGCCCACTGGAAGTCGGGAAATGGGCCATTTCCGGCCTCTGGAGGGCCTCTGCAGGGGTGGGGAAGGCTGTTTTAACCCTCCCCAGGCTCCAAGGAAGCCTCTGGAGTCTGGGGAGGGCAAAAAATGGGTCTACTGGGCCCACCGTTAACCTTTTTACCGTCATGTGCCAAAAGCGAGTAGCACGGGTGGGTCGCGTGCGCATGCGCGGGGGTGCGGGGTGTGGTGGGGCATTGAATTATGGGTGTGGGCACGCACACGCACAATCCCCCATGCTCCCCACGCTTTTGGCACACGATGGCAAAAAGGTTGGCCATCACTGATCTATACTATTTCAGATAAGTGACTGTCATTTAAGAGTCTTTTTAAACGAGGCATCCTGCCTGGTTACATTACAGGTAGTCCTCGACTTAAAAACCATTCATTTAGTGACCATTCGAAGTTACAAAAGTGACCATTTTCCCTACTTACGACCTTCGCATCAGCCTCATGGTCATGCGATCCAAATTAAAACGCTTGGCCGCTGACTCATATTTATGACGGGTTGGAGTATCCCGGGGTCACGGGATCCCCTTCGGACAAGCAAAGTCCACGGGGAAGCCAAATTCACTTAACAACCGTGTGACTCGCTTAATAACGGCAGCGATTCACTTAGCAACTGTGGCAAGAAAGGTCATAAAACGGTGGCAACACTGTCTTAACAACTCTCTGCTTAGCAATAGAAAGTTTGGGCTGAAATGCAGTCATAAGTCGAAGATGAACTGTACTAGAAACTGCAGAAGCAGTTCATTTGCAGAATAGAGGACAATTTCTCTACTAACATTTCTTCTCTCTTTTTCTCAGTTAAGAAATACAGTCAGCAATTTTGGGAAACTGTTTTAAACTCTGAAGCAAGTGGTTGTTTTTTTCTAATTTAGCACCTTACCGGGGTGAAATGTAAAATTGGTTACTACTGGTTCTGTGGGCGTGGCTTGGGGGGGGTAATGTGACTGGGTGGGCGTGGCCAACTTTTTTAAAAAAAAACTTTTCAAAGCATTTTTTCTAATGCCTTGAAAAGCCTCTGGGAATCAGGCAACTCAGCTGGGATCGTCAGAGTCTTTTCAAGCATTTTTTTTACCACCTCTTCGGCCAAGAGGTTGCAGGAAAAAATGCTTTGAAAAGCCTCTGACGATCTGAGCGATCATCAGAGGCTTTTTTTTTTACTTTTAAAAACATTTTTCGTCAGAAGAGGTTGTAGAAAAAATGCTTTTAAAAGTAAAAAAAAGCCTCTGACGATCCTGCAGCTCAGCTGGGCATGGTGGGGGGTGGGGTGGGGCAGAGATTTTTGCTACCGGTTCTCTGAACCACCCGCCACCATCGCTACCGGATTGGGCGATCCGGTCCGAACCAGGAGCATTTCACCCCTGCACCTTACTCTCTCAATTCTGCTTCCAATTCCATCCAGTGATGTCCGCAGTCTACATTAAAATAGGTTTGTCTTTGGCTGCATCCAATAAAGACAATTTTATGTGCAACAGCAGCCAATTTGCATTGGGTGATCTTTTTTTTTAAATTGAAAAGTTTTACAAAGAAAATTTCCCCCCCCCTCAATATTCCCCCCACCCTTTTCCCACCCCCCCCCACCCAGACTTCCCAGAGCAAAATACAGGGTATTTCAATTAACAATCATAAGCTAAATTAGCCTAACTATTCTTAAACTACCTATTCCTCCCCCCGCAAACCTTAACTCCACTATGGATAACATGATACTTCTAAAATAAAGTTTAACATTCATTCATAAGCTATTTGATATTTTCTTGTCTGATACTTATTTTGAATATAATCAATCCATCTTCTCCATTCTGATATGTATCTTTCTTCTGTATAGTCCTTCAAATATGCTGAAATTTTCGCCATTTCCGCTAAGTGCATTGGGTGGTCTTTTAGCGCCCTCTAGAGGGATGTGCCACATTTGCCAGGTGTCCAAGATTAGTCCTTATTTATTGCTGCTCTTCGGTTGATCCGACTTTCCAGCACTTCTGGGTGGTTTACAGAGTCAGCCTCTTGCCCCCCAAACAATCTGGGTCCTCTTTTTAGCGATCTCAGAAAGATGGAAGGCTGAGTCAACCTTGAACCAGTCAAGTTGAACCTCAGACTGCGGGCAGAGTTAGCCTCCAGGACTGCATTCTAGCCACTGCTCCCCAGGCCTGACAATAAATGGCTAAATGAATGATGACTGTTGCCCTTCTGGAGCATGTATGAGACCCAGAGACAGACGCTGCCTTTATTTCATGTTGTGTGTGTGGGGGTTTTTTGTTTTTTGTTTTGTATTTTACCCAAGAGACAAAGGAGGAAGGTCATTTGTGGTCTTCTCTTGCATCAACATTTCTTAGGTAAGCTTTCGAAAGAAAACTGCTGTATTGTTTTGTGAACGGGCCCCAGAAGAAAAGAGGAAAGGCAGAGGGCCAGATCATAGAATCTGAGAACTGGAAGGGACCCTGGAGGTCTTGTAGTCTAACCCCTTGCCCAAGGCAGGAGTCCTTATACTATCTTGTCCGATCTTTTCTTGAAAACCTCCAGTGATGGAGCACCCACAACTCTGGGAGAGGAGCTGTTCCATTGATTAATTGCTCTCACAACCAGGAAATTGGCTTTTCGTGGCTAAGTGCAGGAGCTTACTTGTTCTGACCCAGCTCCCCAAACACGACAAACCCTCTGAAGTTCTCAAAGATTCCTTAATTAGGAGCGCCAGCAAAAAGTTTCTCTCTCAACGCAGATGAATCGTTGTCTGACAAACCTATTCATCTCCGCCCCCTGCCTTTGATCCCGGAGCTAGGGTGGGGCTTCGCTAGCAGCGGTAGCTCTTCCGTCCCGAGGATCAGCCCACATATTTCCACTGCTCTCCTCTCCTCTGCCTTCTGCGCATCCACGTGTCAGGCACTGGACCCAGCTGTTCCTCCTCTTCCTCATCAGCCACCTCCAGACCTGGGGGCTGTTGACCCTCCATCTGAGGGCTGACAGACGGCCCAGGCTCTACCCCTCTCTCTCTCTCTCTCTCTTTATCTCTATCATCTCTCTCTCTCTCTCTCTCTTTATCTCTATCTATCCTCTCTCTCTCTCTTTCTCTATCTATCATCTCTCTCTCTATCTATCTATCCTCTCTTTCTCTCTCTCTTTCTCTCTATCTATCCTCTCTCTCTCTTTCTATCTATCCTCTCTCTCTCTCTCTCTCTTTATCTCTCTCTCTCTCTCTCTCTCTCTCTCTCTCTCTCTGCCAGCTCCATTCCCTCTTCCCCCTCGGAGCTCTCAGATTGCCTTGATGCTGACCCCAACTCCCACTCCTCCTCCGCCTCTGATTCGGCTGCTGGAGGGGCCGGTGGCCAACAAGCCACAACACAGTGGTGGGTTTCAAAAATTTTTACTACCGGTTCTTTGGCCGTGGCTTGGTGGGTGTGGCAGGGGAAGGATACTGTAAAATCTCCATTCTTGCCCCAATCCAGGGGAAGGATGCTGCAAAATCCCCATTTCCTCCCGATCAGCTGGGACTTGGGAGGCAGAGAATAGATGGGGGCGGGGCCAGTCAGAATTTTTACTACCAGTTCTCTGAACTACTCAAAATTTCCGCTACCGGTTCTCCAGAACTGGTCAGAACCTGCTGAAACCCACCTCTGCCACAACATTACTTTTCTGACCACTAAACTGCATTTTGTTAGTGGGAGGTTTGCTGAAACATGGGGGCTTCCAAAAACAGGCTGGGACAGGTTTAGTCCCAGGCGCCTTGCACTCGCAAACAACCAGCCTGGCACAGAACACAAACAACTAGTATTTTGAGCTACGTTTATCCAGATGTAATCACATCCGCACTAATAAAATTTGCCTTTAATATACATAGTTTAAATTTCAATGTATTCTCATAAACTTTTTACACCAGAGGAATTTAAAAAAAAAAAATATTTACATTACAAAAAAGAGCCGTACAAATGTTGAAGGAAAACAGATCAGTGTCGTCTCTAAGCTACTCAGAGGTATGAAGTCACCCAAGTCCACCAAAGAAGTTTCCAGGAAAATCCTCCTATGAACGTTTCATATCCAAAGTCCCCTTGGCCAGGACAAGGTCAGATGCTGGTGCTGCTGGACTGGAACTTCAAGCTGTTGGAAGTCGTGCATTGCATGGAATTCGACCTGCGAGACTGCAACACTTTGGCCAAGTACCAAAGGAAGATGAAGAAGCCTGGAGAAACAGGAGGAGATCACAGATGTTAAGCAGTTCCTTGAAGGGAGTGAGGAATTCAAATACATGGATAGAACTGCAGTCAGGGGTGAAATTCAGCAGGTTCTGACAGATTCTGCAGAACCCGTAGCAGAAATTTTGAGTAGTTCGGAGAACTGGCAAATACCACCTCTGGCTGGCCCAAGCAATGGGGAGGGAATGGGGATTTTGCACTATCATTCCCCCAGGAGTGGGGAGGGAATGGAGATTTTGCAGTATCCTTCCCCTGCCACGCCCACCAAGCCACACCACGCCCACCAAGCTACGCCCGCAGAATCGGTAGTAAAAATTTTTGAATTCCACCGACTGCAGTGTAATGTTGTACTGTAGGAATACCCTTGAAGAAAGGAGGAAGGAGGAAGAGCTGCAGCCAAGGCAACAGATAGATAAAAAGAAATCTGAGTCCGGGCAGAAATGGAATCTGAGAAAACAGAAGATCACAGACGTTAAGCAGTTCCTGGAAGGGAGTGAGGAATTCGGACACACGGATAGAACTGCAATGTAATGTTGTACTGTATGAATAACCTTGAGGAAAGGAGGAAGAGCTGCAGCCAAAGAAACAGATAGATAAAGAAATTTGAATCCGGGGCAGATAGGAACCGGGTTCTCAGATAGGAACCTCCTTAGTTCACATTAAAAAAGGGGGAGGGAGGTGGAAGTGCAAGATTTTATTACTCTAACCTTATAATAAAAGAAGACAATAGACAAAGAATAGTTGTCTATTGTTCTTCAGAGAAGAACAATTAAGATGATCAAAGGCCTGGAGAGTAACGGATAACAGATTATCAGAGTTGGAAGGGACCTTGGAGGTCTTCTAGTCCAACCCTCTGCACAAGCAGGAGACCCTATAACCGTGATGGCGAACCTATGGCACGCGTGCCACAGGTGGCACGTGGAGCCATATTGGTGGGCACGCGAGCTCAGCTCCGCTAGCTGATTTTCAGGCCTTCTGGGCCCACTGGAAGTCGGAAACAGGCCATTTCCAGCCTCCAGAGGGCCTCCGGGGGGTTGGAAGGCCGTTTTTCGCCCTCCCCAGGCTCCTAGAAAGTCTCTGGAGCCTGGGGAGGGTGAAAAACGGGCCTACCGGGCCATCACATGCCTAAAGCGGGGGGGGGGTCACGCGCATGTGAGGGGGGGCAGGGCGCATAGAATTATGGGTGTGGGCACGCGCGAGGGCAACCCCCTGCTTTTGGCACGCAATGGCCAAAAGGTTAGCCATTACTGCCCTATAACATTCCAGACAAGGGGCTATCTATTCTCTTCTTCAAAGCCTCCAGTGATGGAGCACCCATAATTTCTGGAGGCAAGACATTCCACTGATTAATTGCGCTCACTATCAGGAAATTTCTTCTTAGTTCTAGGTTGCTCCTTTCCTTCATTACTTTCCATCCATTGTTTCTTTAGGTGCTTTGAAGAATAGGTTGACCCGTCTTCTTTGTGGAAGAATATTGGAAGACTATCAAGTCACCCCAGCCCTTCTCTTCATTAGATTAGACATGCCCAGTTCCTGCAACTGTCCTTCATATATTTTAACCTCCAGTCTATATCATCCATCTTTGTTGGTCTTCTCTGCACTCTTTCTAGAGTCTCAGCAACTTTTTTTGTAGAGGTTTCCTAAGTTTGGTTTCCCTTGAAAGGTTGAAAATGCAGCAGTGTTGAAGTCTTTTCACCATCAGATCTGTCTGTTGTGGATGATCAAAGGTGTGAGAAGGACTGGAATTCAGAGGTGATGACCATTCTTTGCATTTGTCACCACACTATAAAAAAGATGTTGAGACTCTAGATTCTAGAGTCTAGAACCCGGGTCTGCAACCTTAAACACTCAAAGAGCCATTTGGACCCGTTTCTTGCAGAAAAGAAAACAGATGTTGGACAACCATTTGTCTGAAGTGGTGTAGGGTTTCCTGCCTAAGCAAGGGGTTGAACTAGAAGACCTCCAAGGTCCCTTCCAACTCTGTTATTCTAAAAAAAACTGAAATTCTACTTTATCCTAGAAAACTCCAAAATGAATGGTATGGTAGGTATATAGACAAATCAGGCTGTCATTCAATGTTGACTCAGAATGAATGCAATTAAGGGAGCACAACCAGCAAATATTTGATTGGAAATTTCTTGGTTTCCCACAACGCCACCACTACCAATTTCTGCAGAGGGATGAATCTAATTCCAGGGGTCTGCAACCTTAAACACTCAAAGAGCCATTTGGACCCGTTTCCCGCAGAAAAGAAAACACCGGGAGCCACAAAACCCTTCCTGTGCCTAACTATTTCTTGAGCGGCCACAAAACTAGCTTATGTAGTTGAATTAAACATTCTGTTTTCTTCTGAAACTTTTCTTTTCTTGGATTTATCCATGGTTGGCCTATGGGGATTGAAAAGCTCAATATATCGCCTGCCAGCAGGTGTCGCACATTGGGTTGTGACGCATATTTGAGTGACAGGGAGCCGCAGCAGAGGGGTGAAAGAACCACATGTGGCTCCAGAGCTTCAGGTTGCTGACCCCTGGTCTAGAAAGAGCACAGAGAAGAGCAACCAAGATGATTATGGTAGAGGGTAAAACATACAATGAACAATTGCAGGAACTGGGCATGGTCAGTCTAGTGAAGAGAAGTCCCATCACTTTCACAAGCTCAGATTGAATTGAAAAGATGAAGTCCCAGAGCCAAAATGCAACTCTCTCTTGTGTTGCGTGAAAATCCAGGGGACAAAAACTGATAAGGTGGCAGACCTCAAGAGTAAGGGGAGCAGGAATACTCACTGACCTTGGAGAGAGTTGATGATGGTGAAAAGATACACGGCCACCAGCTTGAAGGTCCCAGAAGCGAACGCAAAGAAGACCAGCCCCCACGGGATGCCCAGGACACAGCTCAGACCCAGGAGCATTACCACATATCCCCAGTGATGCTCTCGATGTCTCAGCTTGAGAATCTCATACACCATGGTGGCCAGCATGATGCTGTTGAAGAAAAGCACCAGGCTTAAATAGCCCAAATTCAGGAAATTGTTGATCTCCTTTTTGGTAATCCAACAGCTGGAGGAGAAGAAGAGAAAAACACAGAAAGGTTAAGTCTAGACACTATTTAACTAGCTGGAAGGTGCATGAAAACTGGAATGTGAGCTTTCAAATAGGCTGGGAAATTTTCTTTAAGCTGACACCTTCCCCAAAACAGGAATTTCCAGGATGCTCCAGGGCCAATCATGAATGTGATGTGTCCCACCCTCTTTGTGGTCTCTGCTCATTCCTTGATTCCCTCGTTCTCCAAGAAACTGGATTGATGGAAATGATGTTCTAGCATTACCTGGCTACAGGTGTTTTATCATAAGCAACGTAGGATCAAAAGATGGCCCATGCTAAGCAAGGGCTTAATGAGTCTAGTCACAATACATCTTGATAGAATCATAGAATCCCAGGACTGGAAGAGATCTTGAAGGTCTTCTAGTCCAATCTACTGCACAAGAGCTTATACTATCCTGGACAAATGTTGTCCAATCTTTTCTTGAAAATTTCCAATGATGGAGCATCCATCCATCCATCCATCCATCCCACCATCCATCCATCCATCCATCCTACCATCCATCCATCCATCCATCCATCCATCCATCCATCCATCCATCCATCCTACCATCCATCCATCCATCCATCCATCCATCCATCCATAATCCATCCATACCATCCATCCATCCATCCATCCATCCATCCATCCATCCATCCATCCATCCATACCATCCATCCATCCATCCATCCATCCATCCATCCATCCATCCATCCTACCATCCTGCCAGCCAGCCACCAGCCACCCACCCACCCACCAATGAAGCACAATCATGATGTGAGATTAGAAGAAACTGATCTAGAAAATTATGATATAGGTGAAATTCAAATATTTAACCCAAAACCTAAAGAGAGAATGTTAATCTGTGTGAACATTTACACATGCCACCCAGACAACAGGTAAAGTGGGATAACCTGGAAGAGTCTTTAGTTGACATGTTACATCAACGCATGGTTTAATTATTTTGGGGATTTAATGTTTTTTGCTAGAGTTGGCGATACTGTACTGAATTTAAAGGATAAAGACTTTTTTTTAAATTGGAGGCCACTTTCCCTCTGGAACATACATCTCATGAGAAGGGCTTATACTATCTTGGACAAAAAACAGGATTTTTCAGGACACTCCGGTACCAATCATAACTGCGATGTATCCCATCCTCTTTGTGGCCCACATTCATCCCCGCATCCTCAACATACAACCATTCGTTTAGCAACGATTCCAAAAAAAAACACCGTGTACTTAAAAAAAGTGACTTAGGACCACTTCTCACACTTACAAAAGTCACATCCCCCCAGTCATAGGATCAAAGATTGTGCACTTGACAGCTGGCATGTATTTATGAGTTATGCCACCACACAGTCATGTGATCACCATTAGTGACCTTCCCAGTCAAGTTCCAACAAGCAAAGTTAATGGGGGAAGCCAGACTTGCTTAATGACTTACAGGTAGTCCTCGAGTTACAACAGTTCATTTATTTGGGGGGGGGCTTTTTTGTCTTTTAATGACCCCATAATACCTTGCATGGGAGGTGGAGTTGTGGCAACTGAATGGAGCTGAGTGTATTTGTTCCTTGTATTGTTCCTGATTGTTCCTTGTATTTTTCTACAAACTGGTAAGAAGATTTTATATCCCTGGATTGCTCTTATATTGCACTTTCTATGGCTAAGACTTGGATTGTTAAAGGACTATGATTTTGCTTTTCCCTAAAAGTAAAATATATAAAACCCAGTTTGTCTGTATGTTATTCACAATTACTCTCAAAATGTTTCTGTGCGTAAAACTCTTATGGTACTCTGCTTTATAAGCCACAACTTCGGGTGAAATTCAAAAATATCCTTAACAAACCATGTGTCTAACTTAACAACTGAAGGGATTCACTTAACAACTGTGGACAGAAAGTTCATAAAATGGGGCAAAACCTCCCTTAACTCTCATTTATCAACAGAAATTTTTGGGCTCAGTTATAGTCGTAAGTCGAGGACTACCTCTATGCGATTCGCTTAACTGCAGTGATTTGCTGAACAGGGCAGGGGGGGGAAGGTCATAAAATCAGGCGTGACTCAATTAACAAGTGCCTACTTAGCAATGGAATTTTTTTTTTTTTAATTTGATTTATATGCCGCCCTTCTCCGGAGACTCAGGGCGGCTTACAATGCGTTAAGCAATAGCCTTCATTCTTTTGTATATTTTATACAAGTCAGCTTATTGCCCCCACAAACTGGGTCCTCATTTCACCTACCTTAGAAAGGATGGAAGGCTGAGTCAACCTTGAGCCTTGGAGAGATTCGAACCAGCAGAAATTGCAGGCAGCTGTGTTAATGACAGGGTGCACTAAACCACTGTACTATCAAGGTTCTTTCTAGTTCTAGTTCCAGTTTCAGTCATAAGTCAAGGACTACCTGTATTGTGTCAGCTTCTAGGGCTGTTCAATCCTCAAGGAGAAATGCACCTTTCTGAATGGACAGTAGGAGGCGCTCTTTTTCTACATGCCAAGAACTTACATGGTTGAATTGGTGTATTCACCGGCGGTCTCGTAGATCTTAAAAGAGAAAGGGCCATAGTGGGACTGGTCGATCACAAAAATTAGACACACGATGAATATGGGAAGACCTGCAGAGGAGAACAACCCACATTAGTGCTTCTTCCACTAGTGCTCACTCAGAAAGTTTTACGTTTTCCATTGATTTAAACTATTTCCATATTGTCCAGTGTATATTTCCCTCCTACTCTCTTCCCGAGTGACACACTGAATAAAGAAATATCCAGTTAAAAAAGGAATCAGAGAACCTAAAACTAGAGTTTCTAGTCCTGCCTTCAGGTGCTTTGGAGAATAGCTTGACTCCCTCTTCTTTGTGGCAACCACTGAGATATTGGAACACTGCTATCATGTCTCCCCTAGTCCTTCTTTTCATTAAAATAGACATAGCCAGTTCTTGCAATCACTCTTCATATGTTTTAGCCTCCAGTTCCCTAATCCTCTTTGTTGCTTTTCTCTGCACCCTTTCTAGAGTCTCCACATCTTTTTTTACATCGTGGCGACCAAAACCGGGTGCCGTATTCCAAGTGTGGCCTTACCAAGGCATTATGAAGTGATATTAACACTTCCCATGATCTTGATTCTATCCCTCTATTTATGACGCCTAGAACTGTGTTGGCTTTTTTGGCAGCTGCTGCACACGGCTGGCTCATATCTAAATGGTTGTCCACTAGGACTCCAAGATCCCTCTCACAGTTGCTACTATTGAGCGAGGTACCACATATAACTGTACCTGTGCATTTTGTTTTCGTTTTAAATGATGCGATTTAATCACACTTGTTCATCGAAAAAGAGCAATTCATTCTGACAATAAGGGAAGAGATTTTAAAAAGCATAACATTTTCTTAAGAACATGAAGAAGCCTATGGAGATTCTCAGTCCTTCGGGTCATGGTTGTCCCAAAGATGCTTTTTTTTTTCAAGAGGCAACTGGACTTCCTGGTTTTTCTTTGAAGACGTTTCACTTCTCATCCAAGAAGCTTCTTTGGTTCTGAGAAGCGAAAGGTCTTCAAAGAAAAACCAGAAAGTCCAGTTGCCTCTTGAAAAAAAGCATCTTGAGGATGAAGTCCCCAAAAATGGGAAAATGTCTAATACATTACAATCAAACATGATGCCCTCCATTTAAATCAGGGGTCTCCAAACTTGGCAACTTTAAGACTTGTGGACTTCAACTCCCAGAGTTCCTCAGCTTGCTGAGGAATTCTGGGAGTTAAAGTCCACAGGTATTAAAGTTGCCAAGATTGGCAACTTTGCTGGCTGAGGAATTCTGGGAGTTGAAGTCCACAAGTCTTAAAGTTGCTAAGGTTGGAGACCCCTGATTTAAAGGCTGCCATGATATGGTCCTTTCTTGCACTTTGTTCTTCTTGCGTCTACATCCCAGGGGGTTGGCTGTGAGAACCCAGCTCATCTAAAGCCACTTCCTGAATTCACAGCAGAAGCGAGTCTGAATGGAAGCTTTTGCATCTTCTGTGGCTGTGCCCACCTTCTTCCTCTCACTGTCTGCTTCATGTTCCAAAGAGCTGGTCATAACCTCTGAAGTTCTAGATAACTAGAGGTTTCTTCCCCCAAAGCTTCTGCCACTCACCCCAGCCCACCAAGCAAAGCTTGAGGAGCAAATGCTTGACGTAGGAGTTGAAGACTTCGACCACCAGCCGGTAGAGACTGTACCCCTCAATGGCCATCCAAGTCAAGCACGCTAGCATGGCAAAGTGCAAGAACATCCCGCCAGCTTTGCAGGCCGCGTCCCCTCCGGTAGGAGCCAGGGGCACCGCGATGAGGAAGCTCATGTCGAGGAGAAAGATGGCCCAGAGGAGATTCATGTGGACATAGACGATGTGGTCTCTCTTGCTTTTTCCTGTGAAGAAGGAAGAGCATCAGGCTTCTTTTCTTGGTTGTATGAAGCTCAGAGCTGCAGCCGTGGAAAGTCTGAGAACCTGTTGTACGAAAGGGTTTCATCCCCAAGACTTTGTAGAAAGTTAGTACCCACCCTTCTCCTAGAACGTGATGGTGAACCTATGACATACATGCCACAGGTGGCACGCGTAGCCATATCAGTCCCACTGGAACTTGGCAAACGGGCCGTTTCTGGCCTCTGGAGGGCCTCCAGGGGTGGTGGGGAAGGCCGTTTTTTGCCCTCCTCAGACTCCTAGAGAGGCTCTGGAGGCTGGGACAGCAAAAAACGGGCCTTATGGTCCTACTGGAAGTTGGCAAACGGGCCGTTTCTGGCCTCTGGAGGGCCTCCGGGGGTGATGGGGAAGGCCGTTTTTGCCCTCCCTCAGACTCCTAGAGAGGCTCTGGAGGCTGGGGACAGCAAAAAACGGGCCTTACGGTCCACACCGGAAGTTGGCAAATGGGCCGTTTCTGGCCTCTGGAGGGCCTCTGGGGGGTGGGG